TCACGCCATAAAAGATAATTTTCAGAATCTAGTTTAATAGAGACATGGTTGGAGATAAGAAAAGAGAATAAAGAAGGAATAGCTGGGTTGGTTGTGGAAGAAGACATGATTTGTAGAAGGATGAAGAAGCAACAAAGAGAAAAAGAGAGAAAGGAGGCGGTGCTGTAATAGAAAGAAAAAGGAGAAAGCTCACGCCTCAAGAAGAGCTTTAATGCTCTGATACCATGACAGGATTTGAGAATAGCCTACTACCCTAGTAGGGTTGGCTGTATATTTATATTCAAGTAAGGTAATATGTTGAAAATACAATATTGCCCTCTAGGCTTTACATGATATCGCGTGTATACAGGGGAAATAATGTTGTGAGTGGGGAGAGTGCTAGAAGACCTAGAGGTAGGATGATCTGCAAAAGGAAACACATTCTCATCAAACACAACATGAAAAGAAACAAATACTCGACCTGTGTTAGGATCTAGACAGCGATAACCCTTGTAGATTGAACTGTAACCAATAAAAACACACCGCCGAGACTTAGTAAAAAGTTTGTCCTTGCGATAAGCCCACAAAAAAGGGATAACAAGCACAACCAAATACTCGCAAATGATCACAGTGCGGTAAGGAACCAAATAATAGCTCATGGGGGGAACGATGTCCAAGCACAGGAGTAGGTAGCCGATTAATGAGATAAACTGCAATAAAGAAGGCCTCAAGCCATAAAGAGTGAGGCAAAGAAGCCTGATATAACAAGGCAAGGCCTATTTCTTCAATATGTCGGTGTTTGCGCTTTGCCCGACCATTCTGTTTCGTGTGTGATCATTGCCATGACAACCAATCCTCTTACCCTCGTTATGGCTATGGAAATAATTTTGTCCGTAATCAAGCTTCTTCACGCCATAACCAACCTTACTGTCTAATTTGTAAAAAGTCTGGTCATATTGCAGATCGCTGTCGTTTTCATTATGCTTGGGATAATTGTACTTTCGATGATCGCTCCACACTTGCACAAAGTTTTGCTGGACTGTATTTATCATCACATGCTTCGTCTGATTCAGTTGTTGATCACATTGAGCCTCATTGGCTTGCTGATTCTGGTGCAACCAGCCATATGACATCTAATCCAGCTCTTGTCCGTCAATCTTCACCTTACATAGGTAATGATGGAGTCTATGTTGGCAATGGTAATTCTTTGCACATTTCTCATGTTGGTAAATCATCTCTATGCGCACGGGCATACAATCTTTAGATTTAAATGATATTTTATATGTTCCGGAATTAAAGGAAAATCTCCTGTCTATTGCCAAACTCACTAAAGATAATCATTGTGTGTTTCTCTGTTTTCTGTGGGGCTTTCCTATTAAGGATATTCGCATGGGGAAGACACTCTTGGAGGGTTTAGTTAAAGATAATTTATATTCTATTCCAGCACAGGGGGTACTTGAGTTGACTAGTAGGCATAGACTAAACAAAAAAATAGTTGGTACAAATAAAAAAAATGTGGCAGTTCAATTTGGTGGATATTCTTCTTCTCCAGCTTCAGGAATAATTTGACATAGGCGACTTGGTAATCCAACTCACAAGATCACTTCTCAGCTCAAATCTACTAAGCTGATTCCTTTTCTTGATTCATCTTTGTCTCATTATGTATGTGATGCTTGTCAAGTTGGCAAAAGTAAATGTTTGCCATTTAGTTTATCTACTAGACATTTTTCTACTCCTTTTGAATTGGTACATTGTGATATTTGGGGGCCTTCGCCTACTTCAATTACTGGATTTCGTTATTACATATTATTTGTTGATGATTTTAGTCGTTTTGCTTGGATTTATCCCATGAGACATAGATCCGACAGCCTTGCATGCTTCCAAAATTTTAAAAATACAGAGGAAACACAATTTGGGCACAAGATTAAATGGTTTCAATGTGATGGAGCTAAAGAACTTGTTGAGGGGCTTTTTTGCTCATTTTTACATGACCTTGGTATTTCTCTTCATGTATACATATCCTAGAATCAACTGAAGAATGATCTCAACCAGAATATTTAGTGGTGATAATATGAAAACATCAAAAGTTGTAACAAATAAATTATCTAAATAAGTCTAGGAATCACATGGAGATTACAAGTATTCACCATGCCCAGAATTTACGATAAATCAATCTCTTCAGCAGATAAACCCTGAATTTATTGTGAATAAGAAACCAATTATCTTATGAAAGCTTATTAATTAATTCAAGTATTAAATAACCAGTTATTTGACCCTCAAGGAATCTCAACCATTCGATATACGAATTAATAAATTATATAGAGCAAAAACTTTACCTTAAAGAATAATTGAATTAAAAGAATAAATCAAGCATTAAATACATTGGATCAAAGACAAATATCATATTTCATTGAAAGTATCTCTCCTAGCCTTAGTTTGGCTTTTATCCGGCCATAAAGTAATTACAATAAAACTAAATGAAGAAAACTAGAAGACAAAAGACAAATACAATGTAGAATTACGTCCTTTTTTTTATAGGCAACGAGGTATCAAAAACCTAATCTAGGTTGACAACATGGGGATTTGGGAAAATTCCAAACATGAGTCCAGATGCATGGTTTCTACCCTCCTGATGCGTATGCTTGTCTTGGCCCCTATGGCACAGGCGTCCCAACGTGTGTGATCTTCTATCTGGATGCACTTCTTCACTTGTTTTAGAGCAGCTACTGGAATTTCCGTCTGGACTCTCCTTGTTTCGTTGTCCAAACGTGTTTTCCAAAATGCATCTCCTTGCCTCCCTCTACTCTGGAGGTCTTCCTTTCATTGTGTTCCATGCTATTAGTCATCAACACAAACCCAATTACCGATAAAAACTGGACAAACATTCCAACGACAGTCTATTTAAACTCTTGCCAAACTCAGGTTTGATGTTTTTAGCCTATATAAAGGACTGACCTTTGATGTTTGGAATATAAGAAGAGAGCTTCTTTATGATTCTAATACTCTAGTTCATCTTTAGGGAAGAATCCAAGGGCTTATAAAAGAACTTGTTGAGAGCTTGATAAATCAAAAGAATTTGTTTTTCTTACCTTTCTTGTTTGTGAGTTTGTACCTATAAGATATTTAGGTCGTTTTTCATTGAGATTCGTAAAACCTGAATCTGGAGTATTTAAGAGGATAGTCCTGGAGCTATTCATTGCTCAAAATGATATTTTTGAGTTCACCTGGATTTCCGAGGAATACTTTGTGTACTTGCGCTTCTATATCTTGATTTGATTTGTTTAATGGGAGAATTACATCTAAAGTCTCTAAAATTTGTTAATTTATCACTTAGATATATTGATATTTGAAATATTATAAACATATCATTTGAAATTTAATCGTGCGTAACACTTAAACTCATGTCGTCAATATCCGTTAGTAAACTATATTCATATCACCTGAAGTTTGTAAATGTATAATACTCACATCCTTCAAGTTTAAAATTTGTCTAAATATTTCAATCAAAAATAAAATATCAAATATTTTAAATTTTATCGATCAAAATTCATGTTCTCTTGTATTATTTATTGAAATAAAATCAAAAATAAAAATTTAATTTTTTCCTAAAAAAATGTAATTAATATACAATTATACTATCTATTGGAAGAAAACTAAAAAATCAAACAAGAAGTCTAAATCATTCATAATAGAACATGAATTTTACAACTAAACTTCATGTTCTATTATATCATTTATTAAAATAAAATCAATAGTAAAATTATAATTTTTTCTTAAAAAATCATAATTAATATAAATTTATACTATTTATTGGAATTTAATTTGGTCATTTAAACGACCAAATTAAACTACCAAATTATTCTAATTAAAACTAAAAAATATTGTGTTCATTAGTTTGACCTATTATTTAATTTTGTAAGTTTTATTCCAATAAATAATATAATTGTATATTAATTATGATTTTTTAAAAAAATTAGATTTATATTTTTGATTTTATTTCAATAAATGTCATAGTAGAACATGAATTTTTGGTTGTAAAAATTTAAAATATTTTATATTCTATATTTGATTGAGATATTTTTTGTTTAAATATAATATTTTAAACTTGTATATCTTAAGTATTATACGTTTAAAACTTTAGGAGGTCTGAATATAATTTAGTGACGGATATATTAATGGACATTGACAATAGGGATCTAATTGTCATGCTTTCTACAAACTTTAGGGAGTTTATGTCTTATATTTCAAATGTCAGGAATTTGAGTATTAAATGACAAATCTCAAAATATCTGGATGTAATTCTACCTTAGTTAATTGATTGGTCCGATTAACATTCTTGATTAAATGTGGACAATTAGGTCAAAGCAATTTCAATTGGTAATCATTTTTGTTTTCGGCTTATTCACCACACCTTTAAATCTACTTGAATTTACATTGACAATTAATCCGCACAATCTCAGACCTTGTTTTATCTTTGTTGTGATGAAGAACCGCTCTTTCGATAAAATATCTTCGCTATTCACAAGCATTATTTAAATTTGTTAGTCACCCATACCCAGATTTTCAATTTTTGATTCATTTCAAACTGACCCACACATTAGGACCACTCCGTGCGAACTATTTTGACCAATTTTTATTAATCAAAGAAGGAAACTAAATTATGTCTTACTCGACTTTCGCTGGGAAATCCGTACCGTTATGAAAGTATGACAAGGTAAACACTCTTACATGTACTTCAATCAGTTCCCACTGCACACTTCACCGCAACATCGCCCTGGGCCCTGGCCTATTAAAGCACCGAAGTGTGGATACAAAGCATTATTATAAGTGGTCCCACATCCCTATTTAAACCCCATTAGGGATCTAACCTCAGCATGCTTACATCATCCATCGCATCCTTAACATTACACGTGGCAATGTAAAGCATCTTCATTGTATCCTCCACGAAAAAGTCCGCCGAGGGACAGCTCAAAAATAAATAAAGGAAAAAAGTTTGTATTATATAATAGCATGCCTGAAATTGAAATGTTCACAACCGTCTTTATAGTGTTACATTTATTCCACAATGGACCATTTTCAAAACCCTGACCCTTACCAATCTGGTACTCATGTTCCCAGAGTCATCCATCCGTCCGACTTTGAATCCTATGACTATCTCATGCTAGAAGACGGTTCGGAGGGAGATTTTTCATCGCAAAATATGGCATCGCCGGAAAATGTAACTGTTGGCTCCGTCGGTTCCATTGAAATTGGGAGTCCAACTGCAAGGGCTAGTAACATGCAAGTCACAATCACTTCCATATTAATATCATCTGTAATTCTATGCTGATGAGATAGTAGATAGATATAAAGTAAGGTGAACTATTAAGTTGCTGGAAAACTAATTTTTTTTTTTTGTTTTTGGAGAAATTATAGAAATGGGGCAAACAAAAAGGAGATCGGTGCAGTGTCTACTAGGGTTGCTTTTAGAACGAAGTCGGAGGTGGAGATCATGGATGATGGATTTAAATGGAGAAAGTATGGGAAGAAGATGGTGAAGAGCAGTCCAAATCCAAGGTACATGGTATTAAATGCATTGCTTGATATTTTATTTCTTTAGGATTATTTTTTTCATGAGTCAGATAGTGATCAAATAAATAGAACATAATATATGTGAGCATTATCTTTTTAATTTTTTAAAAATATTTTCTGATGATTTTATAGATTATGTCTTCCATTAGTAATAGCTCAATAGACTCTTAATAATTACTGTCATTATTTCATGGCTAAGGACCAATGGATCTCAGAATTTCTAATGTCTCAAAAGAATATTAAGAAACTTTTTTTGGAGTGTTATCAACAGGATCCATGGAGTTTGAATTTATTTTCCCTCTTTCTCTCCTTGTGATCACTGGAAGCTGATCAACAAATGGTTTTTTTTTGTAAGAGGTTACCCATAGTTCTGTCTAATGTAATTGTTTGAAGATAAGATCTTGCCCAACTATTACTCATATATATATATATATATAAGTGTGTGTGTGTGTGCATGCGCGTATGTATATCTTGAAAGTAATATGCTCAAATTAAGAAACCAAGGTGTGATAAGTGCTCTCTCTCGCTTGCACATGATTACGAGTTCCAACTTCATCTGTTTTCTTTGAAAAAAAGAGGGTGACGACAAAGATATCTACTACCCTAGCCTACTATCAAATGACACGCATTTGCACTATATGTTTCACAATCTGAAGTAATTAGCATGGATTATTATATTTCCCTGCCCAAAATGGCTTAAATGTGCATTTTGTCATAGGCTCTCTCTCTCTCTCTCGCTTTGCCCCCGTGCAAATGCAGAAAGCCTGTAGAAGGGACTTGAATAGCTTTCTTCCTCCTCTTCGGTGGTTGTGAAAACTTGAGTTCAATTACAATCGAAACTGGTATATAGGAGTGGGAAAAGTGATTCCCCTTGCATCTTGGAGCAGATGAGCTGCCAAACCAGTTAGGGGATTCGACCAAAGTATAAAGCCCTCTTATGACACCTTTCTTCAATAAGACCGTGCAGCATTTGCTTCCATATATAACTGGCATATTTGTGCCACCCGTTGGATAACTTTCCTCATCAAATTGTAGTACAGAATTTTATCATATAAAAATATGGATGTTATTTCTTAGAAATGATAAAGCATAACAATAATGTACAAGTTTAAAATATGAGAGGAATTGGAGATAGATGAAGGATAAAAAGGAATACGAACATTTACTTGGTTCAATACATTATTTCTATATCCACAAACCAAATGCCCAACGGGCCATTTAGATGCATTACTCACTTGTTATCGTATACATAGAATGCAACTCTATTTATTAGGTGAAAAATATATATGATAAAAATGAACTATCATATGCACAATTCATCGTCTATACTTTTTTAGTCTATATAAGTAGGTGATGTAAGTGGTATATAGTCCTACCTCATATTTGGAAGGCCTTCCAAATTCGAACTCAATATGTATCATTTAGAATAAGAATTAATCATTGCTAGCATGCACATCAGAGAATTTATGCTGTTACAGCGTCATTGGAAGTGGCTCCAGTCTTTTGTGTTTTCAAGGAGGAGGAGCACAAGCCGACTACGGAACTTGGCTGACAACTCAAACTTATTTCTCAGTGTCGCACTAAAACTAAATCCAAGCCACGGATAGTGGATCATAATTTAGTTATTTTTTGTTTATGCAAAGATCGTGAAAGTAATAAAATAAGATAAAATGAGAACATGATAAATCTTTTCATGCTGCCACATTGTGATTGGACAAAATAAATGAACATGATATTCAATAATGTAATACTGATTTTTTTCCAATACTATAATCAAGCCCTTTTTTGATAGGCCTCTACATGTATGAGATAAGGATACTAGCGACTGCCTATGGTTGTTCGCTGGTTGTATCACAACGTCACAAATCGAATGGATGTTGTGAACTTGCCATTATAAAGGCCTACGGGGCACCAGTGGCGGAGATAAGAAAAATGTTCTTGTCTAAACACTCTAACACGTTTTATAATAATCGATAAAAAGAAGATGACACATATATTTTGTATTTCATCAATAATCCTTAAAAATTTTATAAATACATAAGTATAACAGAAAAAAAATATAATTTTTTATTGAAAATGAGCTTAATTGTGGTTAGTTACCATTGACCCAACAAATTTTCGTAGTTTGATAGTTTTGTCTGATTACTTTATTATTAATGAATAATAAAATTAATGACAAAATCACATATATATACATTAAAGGATATACCAAACATTTTTTTATTTAAAATTTTATGAGCAAGATTACAAATTTCTGCTAAATTTTAAACTCAATGTTCAAGTGCACATTAATAATAAATGGTCAAATTGATGAAAAGATTTTAGTGTGTGAACCCTAGGAGTGGACCTAGTCCACCGAAGCGATGGCTTGAAGTTCATCGATTTCCCAGCTAGAGTAGTGGGGGTCATCATCTAGAACTCACGTGATTTAAAGATCTAGCATAAGATACGGTTTGTTTCATCTAATGGACTCACAGTTTTAAATTAGCATCAGTCTATGTATTTTGGTGTGGGATGGGCACCAGCTTGATCAATTAGTGTACTACAGAGAAACTATATTGAAAATCACGGTATCAAGCATGTAAGAAGGGTTACAAAGTGCCGAAGGTGGAAGACCAGATAAAGGCGCAATAGAAATTAAAGGTGCCGAAAGTGGAAGAATTTGCCCCCACTGATGCTCTAAAATATGTTAAAAAAAGAAAGAGGGCGTACGTAGCATGGCCAACCCAAATCAACTATATTAATATTAAACGAAGGTAGTACTAAAGCATGTTTCAAAGAAATATTAAACTAACTTCATCTCTAAAATTGGTAGCACAAAACAAAACTCAAAATTGTTATGACGTGAATCACGTTGAGAACTATCAGTGGCCTGTAGCAGATTCAAAATTGGGAAAGTGGAATTTTTTTGTTTTTTTGAGAGGCCAGCTAATTAGGTCTCCCTCCCCCACCCCCAAGGAGGCTCATTGAGTTCCTGCATCAGAAAGGTTTAATATGCAGTCATGGCTCCACCACTGCGTATTATAACCCCAATAACAAATTAGGGCCCTCGTAAGCAACACAGAGTACACCTTGAAATGAAACTATGGGATGCTTTTCTTCAATGTTTTTTACTTAGAACAAATCCCAATCAGACCATTTTCAACTTGATAGGTGGGATTAAATTTGGTAGTTAATCTTAATTTGAAGGTTGCTGATGCAAAACAATACAGGATTGATAGAGATATGATAAGGATGTGATCACCTGTAAGAAAAGTGGAATGCTGTTAGCCTAAGGCTCTCCGCAGTTATCAGTAACACTTGGTTGACATTTCATCAGCATCCCTAATCATCAACAACATTCTATTTTTCTTGTTTTTATAGGTGACCACGCCCTAGCCATATATCTATGAACCATTTAACCCAGATTTCTGAACCAAAAAATGTTTTTATTTATGGTTCCTATATGATTAATTCATACACAAGTTAATGATTGTTAATTAAAATCACATATGAACAGGAACTATTATAAGTGCTCAAGGGAAGGATGCAATGTGAAGAAGAGGGTAGAAAGGGACAGGGAAGACCCAAGCTATGTGATAACAACATATGTGGGAGTGCATAACCATGAGAGCCCTTGTGTGGTATATTATAATCAGCAGCCTGTCATGACTCCTGATGGATGGATTCTGCAAGCTTCTTCTTCTCAGTCCTCTTCTTTATAAATTGCCTTGCCTCTTTTTCCCTTAATTGTCCAAGTAATATCTGAACTTGAAGCCTTGAACTTAAAGGGCTTGTTTTTATCATGATTAGATTGATCAAAGTTCTTGAACTTACCCAAAAGAATAGTGAAAAGAAAGAATATCCATTTCAATTATAATGAAGCTATATTTGTTGTGATTTGGTTGAAGCGGCTTTGTTTTGATTTGTCCAACAGTTTTTGTTTATCACTTTACTCCTTCCCCTTATATTTCCACTTGAATGATTTGGATTTTCCTCACACAAACTAGTGTTGAGGTTTCTTCCATTTTTTATACAAATGAGAGTTTTAGTTACAGAGTTCAAATGATCTAAGCTCATGGGACTGTTACAGAGTAATTAAAAGATAGCTAAGATCAAAGATAATCACTAGTTAAGATCAAGGATAATCACAAGGGACTAAGATAATGAAATGATTACAGCTAATATGCCCCGTCAAGGTGATCGTTCTTGAACTCTCAGCTTGTCTCTAATAAAGGTGAAGCGGGATGAACTCAATGATTTTGTCATTTTGCCGCAAGTTGATCATTTGTGGAGAGATCATATAGGAACCATAAATAAAAAATGATAGTTGATCTCTACATGCTTAGTTCGAGCATGGAAGATTGGATTGGCACAAAGATATGTTGCACCCAAGTTGTCACACCACCAAATTCGTAAGGTGGAAGCCTTCATACCAAGTTCTTTAAGGATTGCAGCCAAATAATTTTAGCAATTTTGTTTGCAATGGCACGATATTCCGCTTCAGTTGAAGATCTAGCAGAGTTTGAGAGATTTCTATAAACCAATGTTTCAGTAAGTTTTAATTATTCTGCTGCTAGATACTATTTGATTTTGAATTGTATGTTTGAGAATTTATAATATTTTATTGACTTTAATATTTATTCTTTTTTAGATGGATGAATGATTGGTTGTTGTAATGATTATTTTTAGTTACTCTTATAATTGGATGGTTTGTAGATATTAATGTCTTCCAAGGTAGATTTTGAGGCTTTACAGATCCACATTGGATTCTCTCTTAGAACAACAGTTGTCATTTTCACCATTGGAAAAAACGTCTCAGTGTAATAAATTCCATTTTGTTGATGGAATCCATTAGTAACTAGTCTTGCTTTATAGTGCTCGATTGTGCCATCGTCATTGCGATTGACACCGAACACCCCTTTGCATCCAACAATGTTCATGGAAGGGTCATAGGGAATAAGTGACCACATGGCATTATTTATGAGTATGTTCAATTCATTGGCCATTGCCTCTCGCCAATGGGGATGCTTGTTAGCTTTAGAGAAATATGTTGGCTCACTGTGAGACACAACTTGTATAGGAAGAGCACGGGGTAGGGTGTTTTTTGGATTAGGATTTCTCTTTGGGCATAGAGAGTATCTTGCATTTTTGGCAAGCTGAGTTGGGGTCTACTCCATGATTTCCTACATTCGTAGCTAGTTCCACACCATTACAGTTAGTAACAACAATATTATTAGTATTACTTTCATGTTGGATAGGAATGGAAGATTTAGGTGAGTCCCTTGAGTCAAGGGGTAATGAAGAAGAATTTGCTGGAAGAGAATTAGTTAAATTTAATGGAACAACACTACTGAGAGCAGAAATGTTACTAAACAAAGATTCCTGTACGTCACGAGCTAAACATGGTAGCTCTATAGGCAATAAAAACTGAGAACGTGGAATATCTTGTGGAACCGTCATCTTTGGAGAATTAGAGAGAGAATGGAAAGATTTCCTCCTGAAAACGTGCATGCCTTGAAATATATACGTCCAGATTTTGGGTTCAAACAATGATATCCATGGTGATTTGGTCTATACCCCCCAAAACTACAAGGAACTGAATGGAAATGAAACTTGTTTTTATTGTAAGGTCTAAGAAATGGAAAGACTAAATACCCAAAAACTTTCAAGAAACGATAATGAGGAGACTTATGGAGAAAACTTTAGAAGGGTAATGGCCATGAAGGATTGGGGTAGGTATGTGATTGATGAGATAAACTGATGTGTAAAACACATAGTGCCAATACTTTTGAGGTGCAGAGCCTTGGGCAAAGAGAGTTAAACCAGTCTCATAATGTGATGGATCTTTATTTTTGTTGATCCATTTTGCTCATGAGTATGAGGGGCAAGCAATTCGATGTGTTACTCCACATTTGTCAAAATAAGACTTGAGTTTACAAAATTTTACTCCCCAATCAGATTGGAAATTACATATTTTGGTGTTAAAAAGGTGTTCTATTTGACATGAAAATTTAGAAATATTTCACACACATCAGATTTCTGTGCAATTGGAAAGAAACATACATATTTTGAAAATTCATCAACATATAAATAAAAGTTTCGATTTCCTTTAATTGATGGAGTGGGGAAGGTCGCCTTACATCACTAAATATTAGTTCTTGTGGATTTGAACTAATAGAATGACTAGGTGGAAAAGGGAAGTTAGACAATTTCCCTAAGCAATAAGCAGTACATGGGGGTATGTCCTTATGATGAAATGAAGGATGATCATGGCCATTTATCACTTGACAAAGAGCGTGTGTATGTGGATGACCCAAGTGTGCATGCTAACAAGAGAGAGTGGAATATTCACCTAAGAAAGCTGAAGGAGAGTCACTCTTATTTGATATGGCAATGTTAAAGAGCTTGTATAGACCACCTTCAATCAGTCCGCGAAGTAGAGGTTTCTGTATGATTTGATCCTTCAAAATAAAGAGAGTGGGGTGAAACTCAAAGTAGCAATTTTTATCTTTTGAAAATTGATCAAATAAATAAGTTGTTTTGTGATATCAGGGACATCTTAAATGTTCAATATTTCAAAAGCACGAGTTGCATTAGATAAAGAGGAAGAGCCAACATGAGTATACTTAACCCATTACCTGTACCAACTCTTAATTGATCAGGACCATTGTAGTAGTTAGCGATAGAAAGGTTTACAAGGTTAGGAGTTACATGGTGAGTAGCTCCAGTATCTAGAAACCAAGTATTGAAGTCACTAGTCGACGAAGTAGGAAATCATGCAAAAAATGGTTGAGGCATTAAAGGCCTTACTGTATCTGTAGTAGCATCAATTAGCCATGTGATTTTTTTGCTTGCAAATTTGGCATTTTTCTCTATCTAGATAAGATTCTGGAGTTGGCAGCAAACCACGATTGTGTGGGTTCAACTTTGTATGAGAAAACTAATTATTGTATTGCCAACAAGAATGATTAGGTATGTTGTTTGATGGAGCTTGATTATTGTTGAAACTTCTTGAAGTTGACGCTCAATATGCAATGTTGGAATAGCCAAGAATGGTAGAGTAGGCTTCTCTTTCTTGAAGCTGAATCTCATGACTCACAAGAAGGTTATGAAGCTCTGGATGGGAGACCAGATGAATCCTAGCAGATATAGCAGTAACCATGTCACTCATAGTTGATAGCAGTAACCATGTCACTGTAGTAACCATGTCACTGAGAAAGATGATGGCATTAAACTCATTAATATCAACACGTTTTTCGACTATTGTGAGTTCATCAACTATGTGTTTAGAACTTTGAAGATAAGTAGCAATAGGAAGGTCCCCCTTTGGAAGAGTTTGGAGTTGAATATGTAAATGAAGGAGACGAGTACTAGAAGGAGATCCAAAAGATAGAGTGATGCATGTCTAAGCTTGAAAGAGGTAGAAACACCTACTATATGAGGAAGAACATCTTCAGATAATGATGCAATGATCTACTGAAGAGAATTTGGTCGTGTTTGTGCCAATAAAGAAATTCTAGATTGGGTTGAGATGTGTTCCCCACAATTACGAGGGGGAGATGGTGCAATATTAGCTCTATCTATGAGTCCTTACAGATCATGTGAAATAAAGATTGGCTAGAATTGTGTTTTGCATAGTAGGTAATTGTTGGGAGTTATTTTTAGAGAAATAAATTGTGAAGGGTTAGGCATAGGTGCTTGAATGGTTTCCCTTGCTTCCCATACGAACCCGATTTTGTGTATGTCTTATAATGAAGGGTGAGTGTCACTCTCACTCAAAGTCGTGCAAGATGAAGGAAAATTGTGTGTGGATGAACAAAAACGCATGTGAATATGCAAAAATGTTCCACAAGTGTAAAGAGACTTATAGTTTCGTGTTTTACTTGTAATTGTATTCTAACGTCATTTCCTCAAGGAATGAAAGATCAAGTGTTTTCAAATGTAATTTGTGAAAGGGAAAAATGGAAAATATTGTGATTTAAACTTTGGTGGTTTGTGTTTTTAGAAATATGAAAGTAAAAATAGGGTTGACTAATCCATACAGTTCATTCCAATGGGTATGTCAAACCAAGGAAAATTTAAATTTTTATGAAAAAGGGTAAAACGATAAATTAGCCGCTACAATACGGGTTGAAAGCTTAAATTTTTCTAGAACTTGAATGATAAAACGGACCTTAACATTGGATTTGTCTCATGAAATCTAGTTACCCTGTCAATTTTGTTGTATTCCGAGATAGTTAGATATTTTAGGTTTTACGATATGATCAAGCGTCGCGCGGCTAAAAGAAACATGATCGAGTTTTAATTGTGAAATACGAAAAATAGTTTAAAACTAGTTCAAATAAAATATATTAAACATAATACGGAACGAGATTTAATTGATTCAACACAAATCAGGAAAAGACGATACGTGTGGCGCAACAAGGGCAAAGTATTAAAGAGTATAATAGAAAAGAAAATCAGATTTTTTTCCCATTTTACACTAGAGAGAAAGAAGAGAGAAAAATGAGGGTTTCTTCAAGCTTCTCTCTACGATCTAGGGCCAACCATTCGTCGAAACGCTTCGGGCAAAGAACTAAAGTTGATCTACACAATGACAGCTACATCTACATACCAAAAATCAAGGATTTTGACAAAGTCTCAAGAACTAGATTTTTTGAAATCAAATTCTAAAGCTTGAGTTGGGTTTTCTTGGAGCTTCTACAATTTGTATTACACTTCAAGAGGTAGGATTCTTCTCCTAGGTAGGTTTATTTTCAACCTAGATTCTGTATGAAATAGGTAGCATGACTTGAGATAAAATCTCTTGTCTAAATGTGTTTCTTGTGTACCTAGAGTATGAGAAATACTATGAGAATGAATAAAACCAATTTTGCATCAATTAGGTTTGTTGAGAATTGCTCATTGGGTATTTCATGAGAATGTTATAAAATGGACATGATTATGTGTTTATATGATTTTGTGTCTTTTGGGTGTTTGATAAAATGACTAGGTTGATTTAGCATGATTGTTTCATTGAAGATGTTATAACATGCTTAGTGAGAATATGGATTGTAATTATATGCTTATGATATAATTGACAATTGAAAATGTTGTTTGAGATGAAATATTGTTCATATTATGCTCATGACATATTGAACATGATGTTTTAATTGTAATTGAAATCTTGATTGCATAATGATATGAAATGCAACTGTACATTACATTTCATATGTATGGGAAGCATCACATTCATGGGCATGTGACATGGGTGTGAATGTGTGCATGGTTTTGATCAAACACCATATTTGGTGGGTTGACACGTGAGCTCAAGAAAGTTGGGCTAAGGTTCGATTGAGTCTCATATGCTTGCATTAAAAATAGGGTTGGGGGTTAGCAAGAAGGACTAGATTGTCCTTTGGGTGCAAGACCCAATGATTTGGATATGCACTCCGTTAGTATTAAGTCCATAAATGTTATGTCGATTAAGTTCCCATTGGTGAAGTCCATAAATACACACCCCCAAAAAGACTTGGGAATTATAGCTGGTCATTAGATGTATAACATCAATGACCGGGGCTTGGAATTCTCAGATTCATACGCATGACATTGCATGTGTTATGAGAGCTGGTGAAGGCTCAGGTTGCCTTCCATGTGTGAGTCTCATCTCTTAACATGGCATGACATTATGACATTCATTCTTGAAGTTGTATGTTCTTAGATGAATGCTTGTTTAATTGTTGAATTGCATGTAAGCATTTCATATGCATCTAGGTTGAGAAGTAACCTCTTTAGGAGATACCTTATTGAGCGTGGATCACCCTTTATGGAAACAACATTTCAGGTGCGGAATAAGCATCAATGGATGACTCTTACTAGGACCCTCGTTGATGAAGAAAGCCGAGTTGTGGCTTTAGATTACATTTTTGTAAAATAATTATGTAATTGATTTTGGATATATAACGTTGTATAAAGGATTGTAAAACTAACTCATATGAACTATATTTTATGTAAAATTTGATGTTATATGAGTTTGGGTGAATGTTGTATGAGATTGTGTGAGTGAAATTGAAAAATGATTGAATTAGAGAAAACTAGGCTCATATACCAATAACAAAATTCCAGAGGACTCAGCTCAGCTACTAGTAGCACTTACACAAGCTAACAGTAGCTCTTCCAAAAATTTGCACTGGTAGCTTTTTGGTAGAGGGCTTAGCTATTGGTAGCACGTACAAGAGCAACCGGTAGCTACTTCAAAATTTTCAAAACTTTAAAATAAATTTGCCAAGCCTTCGTGCCTTGAGTCCTTTCATTCAAAGGATGTACATAGAGTAATATTAGGGACAAAAAAATGTATATTGGACCTTGGAATGGTCAAATGATTGAAATGTATACAGGTTATGCGTTTGTGAGTGTCCGGTACAAGAGAGAATCTGCCTAAATACTGTGTTGGTTACAATCCCAATGAAGGGGATGTTATGATGTGCTATCAGGTTACACGGCATTCACGGGTACTTCCGCGGGTTGATGAGTGATCAATGAGTTAACAAAAAACCCTCGATTTTATCTTGGTATCAGAGCCTAGGTTCTCGATTTACCTAGGGCTTGTGGGCATGGATATATGTCATTGCATCCATTGTGCATTACATGTTATGCGCTTTAAACATCACATGTTATGTGTTATGTGTTATGTGAACAATATGCATGATTAAATATATATGAAAAAGAGACACTAGGGTTAGAGAACATAACATTGGGGGTTGAAAATAGATGGAACGAGTCGGTTCATAGTATAGATGTCTACTAGTGGGGGGCACACGCTATACTAGTGAGACAAGGAGATAAATCTCAATATTTCAACTTTTACCAACAAGCTTTCATTGAGGTTATAGGAATAATGGCTGCTACCTTGGCACAAGCTAGTGCCAATATGGGCCAATAGGGCTCAAGTAACCTCCAAAAGTTCAAGGCACATAAACCACCAACTTTTATGGGAGGGGCGGATCCGATGGTGGCCGAATATTGATTCCAGCAAGTTGATAAGATCCTAGAGACGATGGAGATCACATCTGATGCCACTAAGATAAGGTTAGTTGCATTTCAGCTTGAGGGAGAGGCTTATCTATAGTGAAATTGGGCAAAGGCCTCAAAGAACCAAAGGCAATGACATGGGTAGAGTTCTTTATGGGAAAGTACTTTTCATCGGTTGTTTGTTAAGAAAAAGCTGGGGAATTCTTGGATTTGAAGCAAGGGACTATGACAACGAAGGAATAGGTGGCTAAGTTCACCGAGTTATCCTTTTTACCAACAATTATGTGGCCACATACTTGGCCAAAGTGATGATGTTTGAGGAAGACTTGAAGTTGTCCAATGGTCGAGATGGCCATGTCCATTGAGATAGAGGTGAAAGACGTTAGAGGCATCCGAGAGGCGGGTGCTAAGGATAAGAAGAAAGAGGGCTAATCCTCTTTTTCTAGTTTGAGAAAAAAGCAGAAGACTTCTACCCTACAAGGGTATCAAGGACAGGGCCGCGGCTATCAAGGCTAAGGCCAAAATCAATCATCCTAAGGTGGGAGAAATTTCAGGACCACCTATCAGACGGGCCGGAGGACTTGATTCAATTGTCACCAGCGGGACCATATGAAGCAGGATTGTCCTCAAGGGTAAGGATCCCATAGTTATAGGGCATTTTAGTCCCAATCATCGATGAAGTATCCACAGACTTATTTCATCCCTTCCTACCCCACCATGGGCTAGGGTAACCAGTTTCAGTTCTAGGGTGTTGCACAGGCCCTTACCACTTCATGAGCGAGGACTTTGCAATCAGGCCAGATGGGTCAAGGCATGGGCTAAGGCCTAGGACAGGGCTTATCGCCCAGGACTTCGGGGACCCAAGGGCGAGTCTACGCCATCACTACTTAGATTGAGCCAGTGGACCAGTCAGTGATTCAGGGTACATTCTTACTTTCTCGCTTATGGACAAAGGTATTATTTGACTCTAGTGTATCGCATTCATTTATATCTGCATCATGTGTAAGGGATTTGAGCTTAGAGGTTGAGACCTTTGAAAAGCCATTGCAAGTGAGTTCTCCCCTAGGAGCTAGTGTATGCATTGCTTAAATATGTCGAGGGTGAGAGATAGAGATCTCGGAGATTCTACTCACCATAAACCTTAGGGTTATTAACATGTCAGAGTTTGACGTTATCCTTGTGATGGATTGGTTAACAGCACACTGAGTCAATGATGATTGTGACTAGAAAAGGGTCACTGCCTATACATCGAAGGGTGTTCATTTCAAGTTTCAAGAGGGAAAAATATGATATTTTACCCTAAGTAATATATGGTTCCCACTGGTACGAACAGTTGATGGGTTGGCTAGCAAGCCCTACT